CAAATCCGCGGTTTTCATTGTGGCCACGTGAAAAACAATGCGGTGTCTATGGAAGCAGCAGGGAGACCAATAACATAGTGAATGCATGGCGCATCCTAATATGAAAATGAAATCCCCGAATTCTTTGAAATACATTATATAGTTTCTGACGCATTGTAAATTGCATCACGTGAAGGTGATCGCTGATGCATTATGAACCTATAGCCTAACAAGTCACAGCGTTCATGGATTAGCAATCGAGAAGTCAACTTGCTTTCAGTCTTGCTTACTATATGAGCCTAATAAAGCATTTGAAACTGGGTCATCTCTGATCTGTCTTTCATAAAATTTTGTTTTCCTTCGTGGGCTGCCCTGTAAGTATTAACTTTTACGGATTATTCTCTGTCTCTGTCTCTCTGCCTGCTGTTCCGCTGAAGCGATCCCTGGATCAAAGTATTTTTACCGGCGGCACGGTGAAAGTCTAGTCGTAATCAAACCTAATAATAATTACCGTCACCTCGTTCGTTTGGAAACAAAAAACGAAACTTTCGACGTGAAGATCACCCCACTAAAACAGCAACTAATCCCCTTAGAACAGCCCAGAAATTTCATTGATCTTCACACTATTACTCAAGTCAGTTTTGTGATCTGTTGCATTTTTAGTTTTCTTTCTTACTCCTGGAAATCCCTAATTATCATGAAATCTACAAATAGGATCCAGATGAGCAATATAAAAATACAATTTCTATGCCTATGAATGATGTGATCAGAATGCAAAATGAAATAATCATTAGTGATAGCGTTTTGGTTTACCGTATTTGTTTTGCATGATGTACCAATAACTAAAAAGTTTCTGGAAATTAGTGTTCTAGGTGTAGTGAGTTGCTACTATCTATAGATTTACCATGGGTGGAATCCGTAGAAGTTAGCTAAGTACGTGTCACATTTGAGAAACCATTCACACTCTTCTACATCTTCTGCTGACTACATTATCCTTAAACTGAGCTGCTTTTTGAAAGATAAATTACAAATGCTAGGCGAAACTTTTCATACCCCCAAACCAACTACATGAACCCCAATATCTTATGCAGTCTCACGTGGTTTCTCGATTACGAGTACCTTCAACGGTTGGAAGTAAGATGCGTGAAATTCTTCCATAGACCAACCTTCATCGGATACACAATCAAGGTCATATCATTGAGTCTTTTTCTGTCGGAATAAAATCAAACGTAAAAACAAAATTCGCAATATGGAGGTTGCAAAAATACAAGCACTGAAGTGAGGAATCTTCTGCTGATTCCAAGTGGTCGGTATGAGTATGAATATTCTTTTTTTTGAATCCGGCGATCAAAGATCGAATCAGCCTTTGATCGAATACTTGAAGTCATTGATCCAAATAATAAGTGCGATGAAGTGATATATATCCTTTGCATAGACAAGCAGTTCAGAAGAGGGAATTATTGAGGCAAAGCTAGTTTAACTGTGCCTTGGATTGGTATGTTGGGATGGATCCTCACTGGGTAATGTAATGACCGTTAACTAAAGCGAGGTAGCGGAAGAAGGATTATAGTTCAATCAATAAAATAAAGAAATTGGAGATAAATGTTTATCGGTAGAGACGGAACAGTATTTGGTTTCAAATGTTGAACTGCATGGAGGCTGTGAAAGTAAGAATTTCACTTTCTAGAACGAACGAATTTTGACCAATCAGAGTTAAACTCTCCAGCTGAAAACTCAGACACAGTCCATAATAGAAATATTCTGAAACATCTTTCACCTAGATCCAATGGAAAGTATTGTGAAGTAAAGCAATAAAGGGTGCATTGTATACACCATTCCAAGGACACAGCTACTGTTGTGGTCTTGATCACTGAACTAACTTCACCAATGAAACTAGCGATGCGAAATAATTATCATTTATCTAATCCTAACAGCTACGGATACTATGGCAGCTTCTGCATGTCCCAAGTTGTCGATCCTATTGAATTGATATCTTTAAGTACAGCTACATATGATGATCTTTTTTCCTCGTTACCACTTCAGGTCTGTGGTGTGGTAAAATTCAGTTACGGGAATCGACTACCATTCTGAAATTATTTAAGCAAATTCTCAAGTCAAACCTTGTCTGGTCATCGAAATACGAACCGATACTACTTACACCACAAAATTAAAACCTGGAACTGTTTATCCTCGTGCAGAGTGTTAGTCTTGTTAACCACCGAAATGATGATCTTGTGATTCTGAAAACGGGTCCTTCATCCGTGCACTCTCCTCACATTTTAAATGAGATTAAGGTGATGAATCTACTATGGAATGTTCAATAATGGGGATGACTGGATGGGAGATTATCAGTCAGCACATCTGATGAATGGCAGAAACTGCGAATCCGGTCTTGTGCTTGCGGGGAAAGTTAGTCCTGTCATCCACGTATAATACCATTCTACCTACAACAAGTATTTTCCTTATGGAAGCCATACCTGTTTGGGCTGAGCGATACTAATATTACATTTCTGAACATGTTTGCACCTATTTATAAATGCAATATATCTTCTTGTCACGACAGGGATGTTCCAAAATGCATAACTATGCCTTCATTAGGACAGCGTATTAGAATCAGTTTACTGATTTACTTGAAGTGTAGAAAAGTGCCATCCAAAAGTGTTGAATTTTATTAAATTTAAGTGGGGCTTTCGATCACCAAGTCGGAAAACCCGTCTTCAGTGAGAATGGAACGAATGATAAGTAGTGAACCCACACATGAATACAGTTCACCTGTCCGATTTCAGGAAACCTCAAATAAGGACGCCGATCATAGCGGTCACTTGATATGCAGATAAACGTTGGATCTGTCAAGGATGAGTTTGATGATCTTTTCCAACTCAAAACGTTTAGAAATAGCTATGATGCGCTGTAGATAGGTTTTAAAACTGCACAACGGAAAGGTGAATTACAGGTAGCCAGTAGATTGAGGAAAAATATAAATAAAATAATTATGTTCAGTACTTTTCCATTAAAAGGTTGATATATTTTGCCGGTCAATGTGAGAGATGATTCAATTATAATTTAGTGTTTATTTTACATTTAACCACTTTGCCGCTTTACCTCTTCCAGGCACAGTGCTCCGTTCGTCTAATCCAAAGCTGAAGGAAAATGTTCATTTGAACCGGAGAATCTGAGCGGACTGTCAGCTGACGCTATACGCATGCATACACACACACACACGCACAAGCCAGCGTACGCGCACGCTCATACGAAACAGTGTTCGTACCGTCCGGTTATTCCCGAAGCCGCAATCGCTCATTTTGTATCGATTTATTTTTATCGATCTATTTTGTTAGACGTGCCTGTATATCATGTTCATGTTCATTCATAAAAAGACCTACCCAGTGATCGGGTGTTTTGTGCCTCCTAACAGTTGAGTCATAACAGAATCCTTCATGGTATGCCCGTTGTACTGACAGCGGATTGTAGTGAGATGTGATATGAACAATCTTCCGTAAGGTTTTTTGTTTGGTTGCACTTTCAAATCAGTGATAATTCTCTCCAATTCATCTTTCTACCAAAACAATGAATATGCGGAAGAATTACTCATTATGCACACGTTTTCTCTCAAAGCGATCCGTTGTTTTCAGTGTACATTAGAAGCGTGCAAGGTTATTTTACCCGAGAACATAGCCCACCTACCTTCGTTAATCCTAGGTGGATTTCTAAGTCTCCATTGCTCGGTAGCCGTAGTTGACGTCGGTGATCTGGTCATTACCCCCTATTATCTATATCCCCTCCTCGCATCTTCTTTGGAACTGAGCTAACTGTAAATTATCCCGAAGACGCCACGACTTGGGGTGAATATGAACTGAATTTAGGTGGGTGTTGAAAAATTCACAAATCCTAGAGAAAGAATTCTAACTGGCTGATGTTTCTATTGCAATTCCACGACCTGAATGTAATGATACTAGTGAGAGAATTTCAAACCTCAGATCACAGTGACCACGAAGAAGTTCATGGATATCTCGGATCCAGGGAAGATGCGGTAATAGACAACAACCCAATATGGCCCGATTTTAAGAACTCAGAATTCACAATTTCGACTGCTGAAAAATGCAGACTGCTTAGCCGGGAGATGAACACGACGTTTAGTATCACACACCGGCCAGAAAATCTGTCCAACAAGAGAGTGGAATAGTGAGCCACAAGTAGTGCAATTGTTCATACGGGTTCCAAACTGAAGGGGAACCGAATTTGTGTCTGATCTCAGGGGCACAAAGTCCCGAGGTGTATCTTGTGGATGGTCGTGTATAGGTATGCGTAAAATAATCCCGTTTCTCCACGACGAGTCACATAGATAAAGGTCATGATAAACTGCAGGTGAGCTAGGGGCAAATACTACTGTTTCATCATTTCCCATGAGTCGAAGTAAATCATTATTGTAATTTAAATTGAATATATAAGAAGAATGAAAACATTGAGGTGGACGGTGAAAAAATGACCTAAGGAGAAAAAGCCTCATAAGTGAACACACAGAGAACAATCGCACAGGGGGAACAAGCTCAACCAAAAATGTGCACAAAAGCGTGCTCGAAGGATCCAAGAGTACAACAGAAAAATTCAAATACAGGAAACGGATAATATTCTTAACATTACTGAAAAAACGGACCGGAGATGCATTTAATACTTGTGCGTATTAAAGAAGGCCACCAGGACCATGTATAAAATATCCTGTTCGCTATGTGAAATATCTGAAATATACATGAAGAGATAATCATCATCATAACCAAACACATCAACATCATCAACAACACGAACATTGCCATCATCATTAGCATCAACATAATCATCATTACGAAATGCACCACTACTACCGCAATAATCACACGAACCTTCAACATTAACATCAGCAACAGCACCACTATCATAGGCATCTTCAACATCATGAAAACCAGTGTCATCTGAAACACCAGTGACTTGAACACAAGAAAAAAAGAACAAAGCGAGTAAGATTGAGAATAATAAGCCTAATCATCCTATTCATTAACGTCATCAACATCCACAACAAATTCTTCAAAATCGTCATCAGCCGACCACTTGCCTTCATCATCAACTTTATCAACATCAATACCGCTATCAGCAACAAAAACATCAATATCGTCATCTTTATCAATAACCTTTTCATCATCATCCCAATTTTCCCCATCATCATTATCCGAATCAGCATCACCATCCTGCGAATCACCATCGCCATAACCGACGTCATTATAACCATCAATATCACCAACATCACCATCATCTTATACATCTACCACAGGATCCGCACCATCATCAATAATATCATCAATGTCCTTATCAATACCTTCATCCGAATCATTATCGTCATACTCATCATCATTGTCTTCATCACCATCGTCATCATCATCCTAATCATTATTATTATTATCACTATTATCACCATTATCTTTACTACCATCATTACTGTATCCTGGTATTGAATACTGGGAACGATATTATCACACCGGATTTCAGCAGTCCACAATGATTCATGTTTTTGCCAAATCGTGTAATCGTGATGCATTCTGATCTATCAACACACGAGTGTCATTTATCATATATCCAAATTGGCTTCTTATATTTTTTCAAGTTTTGCATGGATTGAATTTCCCGTTTGACGTCAGTCACTCAACGAACAAATTTTGCACTTAAGATGTACTATTTGATGGATTTAAGTTATCGAGGTAATGGTTGTAGTCGGTGTACTCAACTAGTTATGATGGTATTAATAATAAAAGTGTTAGCAGACAAATAGTTTGTGGCAAGTGACAGTTTACGTAGATGAGAATGGCCAAAAGTTCAAACTCTAGTAGATAATTACTGCAGACTGTCGAGATCAGTGATGAGAAGAGGTTAAAATCATGCAATTAGGACTGGATGAACACGGGCAAGTTGGTCACTGCAGCCAATGAATTGATGGTTTCGGGTTGATTAGTGATAAATTGTCGGTCACCTGAATACAGATCTCAGCCACTGGTCAGTAATCAGCTTCGGGTATTGTATAAAACAGGACAATTTTCGTCCGTGATGCTGTTAGTCACCTCATTTCTGAACTGTGAACGAGTCTTCCTTTCTTATTCATATATATATATATATATATATATATATATATATAATTTTATTGTATTGTTTTGCATTGTATTGTCTTATAATCTTATAAAGTATGGATAATTTCTGCTTGTTAAAAACTTACGACTCAGCCAATAATAAAAGAGAAATCCATAACGACCAGTTAGGTTGGATGTGAAAAATGGCAAGACAGACAAATTAAATCAGATTCAACCACCGAGGGTAGAGCCACATTCACTTAGCTAACAAGAAAACGTGTCAAACAAAATGCTGAGTTGCGGTAAAATTTTTACGGGACCGGATAAATCCGAACTCGGAACGTGTCAAAGGATAGGAACGACACGCGGACAGTTCGTGGCAAATTTGGTTAGTGGGGTCTGCAAGACTCATTCCAGCAAATCCCTCACGTGTATAAATGTGTAAATCACAAATTTTGTTGATGAGAGAGGCTATGGAGACCAACGAAAAACGCGTGGTTATGGCCAAACAGCTGTACAGTGAATGGAAATCTCTTTTGTGTCAATAAGGAAGGATTGCAGGTGAGCGCCGAAGTGGAACTAGCAGAACATATTGGCAGATGAAGAAAGTGATAACAACTTGCTTAGTACTAAACTGCTTTAGTCTGTGGATTCGAAACGGAGTCGGAGTAATTCCTCTACACTTTCCATTATATGCTAATACCACTGCGAAATGGGGCTAATAATAACACCTTAGTTCAAGACCGACTGAGATTTGTAAATGGGGACTGAGTAATTAACCGATTATTTCTTGAAATAAATAGATCTAGTAAGAATGAATACGCACTGGAAGCTTTGTGAAGTGTTGAGATTTATGCCAGAAAGTGTCTAAATGCTCTGAATATAATGTAAGATATCAAAAAAGAGGTGCATGGTCTGAAAAAGAGACACGTCAGGATAGGGTAACTTTTTACAGACCAGGTTCGCCAATATTTGTTTCTAAGCTTTTAACCAAACAAACCTCGAAAAAACGAGGTTTCATTATTCTTTACCCAGCAATCTAAATAAAACAATGCTCCCCAACTGTAGAGCCTACTCCCGAAGTGCGGTCAGCGTATTCTCGCTAACACGGTTTTCCGGTCCCGACATATATTACCGCTGAAACGCTCCGAGAGTTATCACCTCATTCGAGCAAAGACATTCATCGAGTAGCAAGCCTACACGCCAACGGAGAACGCCATCACACCCTGTATTCACCGTGTACCGCTCACTCAACCACTTCGTCCACATTAGTAGTTCAACTGCTTCCATAAAAATTGGGTCACAGTACTACCCCAAGTGTAGACGCCGAAGTGGTCTTCTTGTTGTACTCACTTGCCCCTCCAGTGAATTCAGAAGACTGTTTCACCCGACTATCTCAAGTTGACAAAGCTCTGCTAAATTGACGGTAACCAAATTTTGTACTATGGTTGCATCTATATGGATTTATTTACAATCAGCTGCCCTTTCCACATACCCAGTGGCTTCATCCAATGATTTTGCGGCCGATTATAGCAATTTCGAAGACTTGCTTCGCAAATTTCTTTGTCTTTCCTGATCTTCTCAATCAAACAAGTTAGCTGTAGTTTGCTAGTCGGAAAATAGAAAAGTCAAAATTTAACTACTTCTACTGATGTAAGTAGTGCTACTAGAAATTCGATCCTATCAGGACAGGGCTCCAGACAGTTCTGAAAACTGACTAATGGATTCCCCCTGAGATGAGAAAACTTATAGCTGAAAGTTCGTTTTCCTTCCTATTTATTAGTGAATGTACCACTAAATTTCTACTCCAGTGAGCAATCATAACAGTTCAAATCAACCATCTTTGAAAACACACTCGCGTTTACTGTGGAAGTCAGCTTCTCGTTCATCAAGTGCACAATGTGTGAGGGTATGATCTGACGCATCGTTTGATAGACTGCCTAGCCCCGCTAGCATATGGCACTTCATAACATGTCCAGAATCCAGGTCTGTACTCCAGTCAGCGGATCCGCGAACTACAGAATTGTGGGTTGATAAGACTAGTAAGGATTCCCTTAGATATTTTCTGGTCGTATCATCAATCAACCAATTAGAAAATAGATTACCAACGCAATTTTCAACCAATTATTAGGTGTTCCGAAGACTGCTGACAGTCGTTACTTCTTCTAATTAAGCGGTACATTCTGAGCTGATGAACAGCGATAATTCGAGGGCAGAATAATCTTGCGAGGGTTGATACGATTAGTCAAAAAGCAAGATATTGTTGGTGTCTCAGACCTGTCAAGAATTATGCCTAAAAACTGCATTACCAGCGGCTTTTTAACATACTGAAGAACAAAACTCATGTTTAGAAGCAATCTCTCTGATGATTCATTCTCTCAAAAGGACATGGATGTTTGGAAATAACGGAGTTGCGTAAGAGAAAAAGAGATATCTGATTCTGAACAAATAAGTAAACTAGTGAATGCAAGAAATTATACGTGCAGATATTACTGCCAAATCTAATTGTTATTCGCGCCAGTCCACATCGAATGTTGCCCAGGTGTGCTGCAAATAATGTAGCCGTTTCAGATGAAATCCCAACAATATTTTTATGAAAGAAAAAATACCATATTAATTTCAGGAGCAAGTGTTTTGTTCGAGACATATAAAGTTTTATCTGTCAATCCAGTTTGCCATTTTTACAGGGAAATACACTGATGAAATATATGAAGTTGATGGATCTACTGTTGGTGCGTTCTGCCCCAACTTTTTATCACGCACCAATAATAATCACTGAAATGTACTGCCAAATTAACACATTACCAGCAGTGTGTAGTAATAAAATTCAATTCAATGTCTAGTAAATCTAATAATTTAATTGTATCGATAATGATATGATTTGGAAGCAGTGGACGTACTCCGTCGATCTTCGTGGACTGTAAAGGTTATATTATATTATTTGCGAGAATATGACTAAGAGCTTTGGATTTTTCTCAGGTGAAACATATCATATTCCCATGCAGACGAAATGGAATGTGATCTGATATATGGGTTTAATGAGTCTCCGTTTATGGAGTCCATGGTCGAAAGATGTCTAGTTCATACATCAACCATTCGTGCCCGAAAGCCTACACGCCATTTAGTACGAAGATTTATCTTCTCTTGTGCGTGGCTAGCTTTTGAGATGACACACTGGTTTTGTCGTGCTTTCTTCCATTTCTGATCATTTGGTTTATCTCTAAGTAGAAAACTGTTATCCCGGTGGACTTTGGGCCCCTCTGTCCTGAGTGGGCATCGTACTGCGTAGTACAGCCATCCTCATTCTGGAATATTGTTCCGTAATTTAAAGAACAAAGGGGAATGGAATATAAAATGATGGACACAAGGATTTATGGTCCGTCCTACGGAATCAAGTATTGTTTGCCTGTGTAGCATGAAACCTCAAAAAGGCAATCGGTATGTGTGCACAGTGATGGGGCTCTACTCACTGATCAGATATTTAATATATTTTGACAAACTTATCAGCTATCGTTCGAAGCATGCAGAGTTGGGAGTAGGTGTAGTTCACTCTAGGTATGTGACACTGAAGGATAACAATGTTCCCTCAGGGTGATCGTGTATTAGTAAATTTCCAAACTGATATTTTGCGCAACGTGATCCAACTTTTGACGTGACTAAGCTACTCACCATGTAAGACCATGGAAACACTGATTTGTTCGTTCACATTGCTTGAAGAATCTTAGTATATGGAACGTTTATTACTGATACTCGGATAGATGTTCATTTTTTATTATCCACTGGATTTAAGAACCTAGTACCCTTCACAAACATTAGTAGTAACAGATTACGATATGATGAATTATTTACAGTGTGAACTCTTACATCAAATACATTTTTTGGCATGTTTACAATTTCCTTGTTTCATATTCATGTAACATTCTCTACACTTTGCGAAGAGCTGTCAGAATCCAATAGTGAATTATGACCCATTGATGATCAAGAGTTGACTTAATCAAACTCTTAATATATAACCAGAAGTTTCAATTTTACAAATCACTTCTGAATTTTAATTGACCAGAATCACCAAATATCTGCTCCAAGAAGATCAAACAGGTATCTAAAACAGCTGATCAATTATTCATAACAACATGGGAAGCTGTTAACAATATCTGGCTGATGAGCTTTGCTCAAATCAGATGATACTTGATGGAAATCAAAGTTAAGTAGTGTTGATTGTGTCCGGAAGTACTTACACAAGGTCCTTATAATTAATATGCAGCGGATAGTGCTCAGTTTCGAGAGGAGAACAAAAAGCGCATGAAAAGACTGACATGATATTGATTCTCATAGAATGACATAGTAAAACACACCTAAGAGCGCAAAACCATCATAATATATTCATACACAAAACGTGCATCAATATTTCTCCGCTGTAATCGATTCGCAAGCATTCGGTGGAAGTTGCCGATTTCACATCCCAGTGGATAAATCTGAACATTGGGAGTTAGAGCTCAAACCCCGTAACAGTGAGCTGCCAGTCTTTTAGACTCTCTTGTTATTTATCAACATAGGTCGTTAGAAAAACGAGAATAACTTTGAAACCCGTACTTAGCAGTCTTTCAGGGGGCGTTTGTGGATTTCATTAGGGAATTCAGGAGATATATTGACTGAAAACTGGTAGAAAGTAACCTGTGAAAGAGAACTGACACTCAGTATTGTCTGCAGAAAATGCAAGAAAATTTAAAAAATGTAATTTGAGATCAAAGATGGTTGGTGGGTAGAACAAATTAGCTAGCTTACGGTAGGGTTGGAATATCGGCGTTTGGTTCAATGTGAGGACAAAAAGTGTACGAAAAACTAAACTGTCTGTTTCCCGACAAACTGCCAGTCTAAGATAAAACAAATCAGCAACTCACTATGGCGTATTCCAAAACAGCTTGCTACTTGATATTATCGTAGTGCGCTGTAACGTGTTTTAAAAACAGATTTGAGCTTAACTGAGAATCCAGAAGGCAAACAGATCGTTTTTCGTCAAACTACGAATCGGACAGATCCAGTACACAGTGTACATAATTTCACTGGCTAGCGCAGCGAAATCAGTTAAATGATATTCGAGTTTGTTCAGTTGAAAGATAACGTGCAGATGTAAGTGTTATTTCCTTTTGAAGTCTAAAATGCTGAACTGAACCGCAAGAGACGGCCTTGAGTAGTTGTACTTGTTCTAGCGCAACATGAACCGATTAGCAGCATAGGGAATTACAACAAGGACTCAGGTGGCAGTTTTCTGACCATGACGCCGTTTCAGACCAACCGCGTATTTACAACCAATATAATGTAACAAGGTGTGACTGGAAATAAGTAAGCGATCAGATTTCAAGGTGTTTGTCAGGGTGTTAGTATGGTTTAACCAGCGTATTCCACTGAGTGTGAAGGAATCTTCACCCGTTCCTTGATCATCATAGTCCGCTGCACCAGTAGTCCGGAAAGATACTCAGTACTTCGGGCCAGTAAAATTAGAGTGAAAAACCTCATAAAGCGCAAACAAAGTGAAAGTGTTACCGTTTCTGTTCCGGCGAATTTCTCCATAACATAAATACCCAGCATATTAGTCCCGGTTCGACTTCATCTTTTAGTACTAAAAAGTCATCACTCACCTCTTCTGGATGATTGGTTTATAGATTTTGGTCCTTTTAGTCACACAGTTCATAATCATTTAGCTAGGATGATGTTGATTACACTTTGCCCTATGAATAACTCTTATGAAACCTAACCTCTTCGAAAAGAAAAGACCCTAGTTTCATTGTGTTCTTTTGTACCCCTACTAGCGAGAGTAATTCAACAAATAGTTGCCTGTGAAATAGTCAAATACCAACAAATAAATCGCCTGCGGTAGAGTCGTTATCATGAAATCAGTATATTTTTGGTTGCTGGATTTGTACACCAACGGTGTTGTCCGCCAATTTTATTTTCGGGTATTTAGGTATATTTTCACTCCTCTAGCAGTATTTCTCATTGTAGTTTATTCTTCACTCACGGAATGACCAAACATTTATTCCAGGATTTCGCTATGGATTGGAAATCTATGAAGTCGATGGGGTTGTCGTACGAATTTCTTCAAAGGATGTTACATGTGCAATCTGCTTTCTGTTCTACAATTGACGTCTTCTGATCTGTAGCTCCTATTCAGTAGCTCATTCAGTATGCTCGCGAACTTTAACACACCTACTGGTTATTGTCTTATGTATACATACACGTATACCAGCAGTTCAAAGGTTTTACAGAAATCAACATTATTCAACGAAAATTACCAGGAACAGTCAATCGAACGCTTCACACTGAGCAGTTTCAAATGCTGTTGGCTTCCAAACTTATTACGTGTTTTCAGCTAGAGGATTGAGTGTAATATTCTGCAACCCCTTTTTGACTGTATTCATTCGGCCGTTTCTGTGGAACTAGGTACTTTGTTCTCACTACAAGGTGCTTATACGAAAGCTTTTGTGATACAGAAGTAATTAGGACAATTGCGAGTATTATGTGCTCTCACCTCGTGGAGCCAAACCACTCAGTCGGGTGGCCAACACGTTTTTCACCATGTACACTGTTTTGTTGTAGCCATAGCTGAACCGCTGGTCAATCGTTCCTACGATCGTATCCGATGTGCCGAGGAACAATTGATGCAAATGCTGTAGCTCTTTCGATCCACTTCTTTTTTCCGAACATGTGTACCATCACTTGAAAGGTCTGCAATCTTCGCAACTTCGCACGCACGTGTAGAGACCGCTTTGGATCGTCATCCCATTTTCCTGTGCCGAGTAAAATTAATTGTTGTCTACTGTTATGTATGAGAACACTTGAAAACGAGCTTGCTAGCCACCATGTTTCTAAAATTTCTCATGACGATGATGATGACGAGGTTGAGAATGGAGGCACATTTGTTCTCTGATGAGATCTACTTAGGACTGCATTGACCAGGAAGCGCCAGTTCATAGTAGGAATAGTTAAGTCCTTTGTTCCATCTCACTATCTCAAATGAGATTCTTCTGGTCTCGAACCATTTCACTTTTTGAGCGAAACCGACTTTTCATACATGGTACTTGATGGTCATAGGCAAACGTTGACGTTCAAACCTATCGGTTCCCCTGGAGTTTACAACCAGCTCTCGTTCATTCCGATCTAGTCCTTTATTCAGGACAGGATAAAATGAGTTGGCTGCTTGCTTAACCATTGTGCTGTGTACTGAAAGAATCAAACTATCTATTGGCATTGTTCTAGCCCATTCCCTCACATTCATCACCGGCTCTGTCATATTCAAAACAAGGTAACAAGTGAGTACCCTGTGAATAGAACTAAGTGCATCAATAATACAAAATCGAGTCACTGAGAACAATTGGTTATTGCAAATTGTCCGAATGGAGTAACACGACCGTGTCTCATCCTCACGGGTTAATATCGGAAGATTACTGTGTCCGAATAAAGCTTAGTCGAAAGCCAAAAGATTTTTTCGGCGTGAGTGTACGGGAAAACGATTAATTTCGATGCTGTTATCAGTGATTCCGATAACAAAACACATAAAAATCATTCGAACTATTTTATTCAATGATTCAGATGGACTAGAATTCGGAAACAGTTCATGGACATATTTCTAATTAACCTGATCAACAGAAACAATTCTGGAGAGAACTATTTACCCAGTCATAATCACTGTTTCGGTGAACTGATAATAAGGGTAACTGATCACTGCCTAATAGATCCATTTACCACTTGGCTTCGTGGTATTTAGTAAGGTGCCAGATGAAATGCTAACAGCAATAGTTGATGGCTACTCAGTCACTTATCCAATCACTGACCGATAGGTTCTCGCTCTCAGTTGGGTTGTATGACTATTGGCGGATGCACGTGGAAGATAGAAATGAGATCAAAGATACTAAAAATTGCATACGACACATCAGTTGCGAGAAAAACAGCTCGTTCAGTACCCAATTATTCGCTTTCATAGTTTATTTTGAGTATGATATGCTAGATTCAGGAAGTGAAACAAAAAACAGTTAACGGGTCAGTTTGGACGGCGGTGTTTGAATAAGGCATGGGTTTTCATTTGTCCTCATCTAGCCTGTTCTAGCCATTTGAATCCAAACATCGTTGCATGAGGCGCTCAGTGTGAATTCCAAGTAGCCGCATGTCGATCGATTTCCACTTCTACGTACAACGCTCTGTTACCGAACAAAATACACTTTCCTATGGTCGTAGTACTTCCCCCGGATTCATCGCTGCTTTGCGTTGCATTCCCTCCATTCCTCGCTCGGGTAAACGTCGATCACAATGTGCGTTCATCAACCGCATATACTTAGTCCAACCAGACAGACCGTTGGGCACACACAGAGTCATGCTGACACGCGCATCCGCATTCATGAATGTCGGTCAATCACATGCCAATCGATCTTGAGTCGTATTGGTCGTATCGCGTTTGACTGTTTCATTTGTCCCATTACTACACAAAATGCCAGTCGATTTGGCCGTTTTTCTTTGAATATACATACACTGAATTATTTCTGACTTCTGCAAATACTCCGAACGTAATCACAGCGCCATCGTCAAACTCTTCGCTTTTATTTATTCCGCGTGGCAAAGACAATGATCTTTAAAATTTGTCAGTCGATACAGTGATCTTGTTCCCAATTACGGTTGACTTGGTGTTTTCTAATTGGAATTCTCCTAAAGCGAAAATCTATGGGAACATCATGAATCCGTGCACAACTATGCTTGGGTGTACAGTGCAACAGCATGCTAGTTCCGGACTGGAATAGTTCAACACCAAATGGGGGAGTGAATAAACTAGTATTGTTGATTCTTATTTCCAAGCGGACTGATTACCGTAGAGATCTTCTTCAGTATTTTCGGTGATCGACGAACGAATATACTAAACTCACGAATCCTGATGGTGAGAATGAATCTTTTCGAACTTGTTGAAGCCTATAAACTCCAGTTATAATTTTTTCATAGATAATCTGAATGAGTTTAAATATATTCCTGAATGTTTACTCCGTGCTGGTTACCACTTCGCTGGAGTAACTGTTAGTTACAGTAGAACACATGAGCGGTATACTCAGTGAAAATAAGTTCTGAGGTTACAGAAGTCCATTGTGAAGTTGCACTTGAACTCCGAGATATAAATTTTAATACAGAATATTTGCTTAGACTTAGTTGTATCATCTTCAGCGAATCATATTCAATCTCGTATACTTCATAATCACGAAGAATAATCTGATCAAGAGGATTATATCCCGACGCAATTCAGTTTTCGCACAGAAGCCATCAAGGAACATCTGACATACATTGATCACGAACTATCGTTTTGAAGTCAGATAATGTCGTTTTGGGTGAAGGATCATTTAAAGAACAGAACTAATCAGTACTTAATCGTATTTCTAAACGCGTTTGGACTTTTTTGGTTGACAGGTGATTCGATCACCCTTTCCTCTGAACCAATATGGTGTCGCGATGAATTGAAAATTCACATCTACCAACCTTCAACCACCACTCTGCTTCGTGGTCCAAAAATGACACTTTTTCGTTCAATAATGGCCCCATGACAATTGGGGCAGTCGGGTAATTTATTTTTAACAGCTGATGAGCTCGTTCGCATACACTGGGCATGTATTACGAGCAGACACCAGCGGTATTCGATGGAAGAGTGGAAGGAGTCCATTCAAGATGTAGTAAGTGAACTGTAATTAACATGGGCCGGGTTAAGTTGCACGAGTAGGTCCTCAAATTGATCTACTCCAATATTGGTCAGAGAACATGAAAGATGTGGTAACGTGACAGCTCACTGTTACAAATCTGAAGACAGGAGTTTGCTACTAATTGGTTATTGTGGTGAAAGCAGAACGCACCTACATGTATATATATATATATATATATATATATATATATATATATATATATATATATATATATATATATATATATGTATATATACATGGTCACCACTACTCTACTTGGTTCAAGTATTTATTCCTACCTTTCAGAACTCTGCTAGGATAATAGTGATAGGACAGACGTATGAGAAGCTCGCGAGTACGCAGTAAATCGTTCAACTTGAAGAAATACGAAGTAAGTGCCATCAGGGAATTTAGACAAGCTATTGGGGAGTCCGAACTAGTTTTGATTTGGAGAACTATTTACTCATTTTTCGTTTAAAGAAATCTTTCATCAGACTGCCCATATTCTGCTTTGACGTTTTATGCCCACACATTATGTCAACCAATTACTTCCCGGAAAACATCGAAGACAAATTCGCAAATGTTGAAGAATGGCCCGGTTTGTTTCGGTGTTCAAATGACTTTGATGTCTGGGTTTGACATACCACGCGAAATCCTTGTTCATGGTGAACACGCTCAATCATGCTTCCCTTTCTCTATTGATTTGTTTCACTATGATGAACATAAAGGTAATGAGTTCTGATTTATTTTGCTTATTGTATTTGATTTTGTGTTGATTGTTGACAGTTTCGTGACCCTAATTAGAATGAGGCAAATAAATATATGAATGTAGGTCTAAAAATCTGTGAGCAGATCCAACTAACAAACATGATATCGGTGTGGCCTCCGGGAATGCGTTATGAGTTTGAGAGATTCACGCTATTCATTTTCTTCTACTGGAGGCATGTGACAAGCACATCGTGCAAAATCTGGCAATTATAATTTTGTGGCATCCAATGTGGCTTCTTTTGATCATATCATATTTTACGCGCATACAGTCGTCAACTAGATAATAGAGGCTCCGTTCAGTTGGAAAACCATATGCTCTCTCAGCTCAAATTTAGCCTGCCATACAGCAGTTAATGAAGTACAGCCTGGTGTTTGTCCAAGTCCATTGATGAAAACCGTGTATTGCATAGTTCTATGATTGATCAAACCATTAGTTTTATCATGCTCATCACGTTTGCCTGATACCTTCCATTAGAAATTGTGATCGAGAGCACGCACACACATATAGATTTGAGTTCTTCTATACTATCTACGGTTTGCACCGTCCTTTCAGATATTACCAATGAACCTGACATGGTCGCTAATTTGCTAAGCAGCTCTACTAGGTCGCACTCGATTTCCTTCATTTCTGGTAGCTGTTAATTATGGTTCATACGATGTTGCTACCCACTATTCCTATTGAGAAGTTTCTGACTTCGGTTATCATGTATAGGAGATTGTTCTATACAGAGTACCGGATGTTTTTTCGAGTAAGCTAAATGTTTTATTATGCGATTCACGTGGTTCATTGACGTGACAGTCATACTTCTGAACCAGAAGGATGCAAGTAAATGGACGCAATATTCGAGGGCTTTTATGTGCACGTTGACCGTCTGATAACGCTCACATTGTTAGTTCATGATAGCAGAATGTAAAGCGGCCAATATATTTTCATACATTTTATGTAGGATAAATAATGCCCGACAAAGTTCATCAATTTACGACCACTGAATCGTGATGAGCTGTTTGAATAATCAGCGTCTATTACTCAATTGTAGGTACCCCATACAACCTGAAACGAATTTTAGGTATATTCGTGTATACGGCAACTGAATCAGGCAAAC